CTGTATGTTGCCAGCAGAGCTTGTTGACTCTGCTACGGAGCGAGCAGACAGAAGAGGAATGGACTGAACTCTGATTTTCAAAGGACCAAATGATCCGTGTGCCGCAGTGCAGCGTGTGGGCTCCCCTCCTTCCAGCCTCCATTTTGCTGGAGCTCATCTCCAGTGCGGACCTGGTTCGGTTCATACTGTTAATAACAGCGCCATCCCTTCCCTCCCACCCCAGCCTCAGTATGTACGTACGTGACACACATGAGGAGAGGCAGACAACACAGCAGATATACTGATCATCTAGTTTTAGGGTCTTATTTTCCTATTTGGTATGAATGAAAGTGTCCTGAACAGCCCAGGAAACGAGGGAGGACAGTGTAAAGTTACATTATCTTAATTTACCTCATTCCTTCTGCACTCGCCATGAGCTGAAGGCGTAGCTTCTCAGAAAACAGAGCTACAGTGAACACGTCTAGCTAAATAGTTATGTGAAGTTAAATTACTTGTCTTTTGTCACCATGTCATATTTTCAATGGCTCTGGGCCAGACAACAGAGCAATGATCAAAGTGAGGCCATTTGTCTGAACAACTGTTCACTGGTGACCACAACATCATTGGTCACAGCTGACCACAACACTCTGGCCATTGCAGAAGAACCCTACAGGGCTGGTGGCTCAGACTGGGCAACAACACTTGAGTCTGCTTATCTGAAAGAAAAAAGAAAAGGAAAAAGAAAAAAGAAAAGGAAAAAGAAAAAGAAAAAGAAAAAGAAAAAGAAAAAGAAAAAGAAAAAGAAAAAGAAAAAGAGAAGAAGAAATTAGAAAGGAAAGGAGGAAAGGAAGGAGGAAGGGAAGGAAAAGAAAGAAAAAGAAAAGAGGAACTAAGCCAGTGCTGATCTTCCAGCTGGCATTAATCTAAGTCAAACATGCCACATTGCAACTTCTTTTTCAGCATGCTGTGGTTCGAGTGCTGCATTTGTTTCTGTTTGTACAAACTGCAATAAAGAATCAGACACTCTTTTCTGTAATGCCCCCCAAAAATAACCAAAAATTCAGTATCAAATAGGAAGAGCTTATTAAAATCCCTTCTGAAGTGCGAGGGCATGGGGACGTTGTGTGGGACCGACTGTGGACCTGCACTGGAAGCAGGACATCAGGATGAGCACGCCACCGTAGCCTGACCCTGCCCTTCGCTGCTGCTGGCAGAGGCGAAGGCTTGCGGCAAGGCAGGAGCGTTACTTACCCCTCATCAGCGGGTTTGATAGAGACGTTGCAGATGCCTGGCCTCTGGCTCCTTGCGATTTGCTGGCGTTTTGATTTGTTCCCTCATCATCCATCTCGGCCCCTTCTGTCCAATTTCTGTTTTTTCACTTCGCGGTCAGTCTCGAGAGTTCAAATTCCATCGTCCCCAGCGAGCCCCCGGCGTTGGGAGTAATTTATTAAGCAGGCTCTGTGCACACGAGTCGAACAGACCTTGCAGCAGACTGGGACGTGGTGCTGGCAGCACTTTGTGCAGAAACTCGAGTACCTGGGCTGGGATTTAACGAAACAGCTCCCTGGCTGCCCTGGGAGGCAGCCAGATATCCAGCGAAGCGAGAGATGTGCCTGATGTCACATCCTCTCCAACGCTGCGCCCAATCGGGGCGCCCGCCATCTGTTTTTATCAGGAAGGAAATTCTTAGTTTGCCAAAAAAACAAGACAGAGAGAGCCAGTTCAACTAGTTGAGCAAACTCTGCCTGCAGGGGATTTGCAAAGAAAACCCGCAGAGATACGAGCGCGTGCGGATCTGCACCACTCCTGAGCAAGTTGTTTGGAGGCAACTTTGCCGTGCACCTCCCTGGACGCTGTGCAAAACCACCCCTCTTATCTGCCAAGCCCTGACGGTATGCAAGAAACGGAGAGCTGAATGCCTGCTGCGCAGCAGTGGTCGCCGCATACCCTACAGATATTGAAACCACATGTTTGGGGAGCTGCGCTTCCCACTGGAGGCCCTGTGCTGTCTCCATGGCATGGAAATCGCAGGGCTGCGCGGGCTTATTTCCTTCGCCCCCGGTTCAATTGATTTCACTGAGTCACAGTCACACCAGGGGTTTCGTATCTGAGCAGTGCCCTTTTATTTTTAAGCAATTTCTTGGTCTAAAACAAACGCTGCAAACTGACCAGTGAACAAATGGCAACGTTTTTTCAGAAGGACCTCCGCGTCATTTCTCTTGATCTGTTTGCAAAAATTCTGTTCTCACGGATCACCTCCATTTGCACTTTTTTCTTTCCCAAATTAGTATAATTTACAAGCGCAAAATCCTTTTCTGCCCCTGAATATCTGCTCATTTATGTACAAGTGCAAGTAGGCAGAACTTCCACGCAAAAGTCTATAAACCATACAAATAAAAGTTAAGTTGGGTTTTTTTTCAGTTTGTCTACTAGAACAGAATTTTCATTTGTGTATTTGGAGATACAAAGTTGTTAATCCTGGGCTAATTCTGATCCTAACTCTGTTGAGCCTAAGCAACTGCGATTCATCTTTATTCCTATTTATAACACATGCAAGAGATCTGGAATCATATTTAGGGTTTCTTTGCCCACATCTTTAAAAAAATCAGTTATGTTAAAAGATACAAAGAGCAGCTGAACGTCATCCACAAACCCCGCCAGCAGGGAATCTGTGAAGGCAACCTGGGCACATGCCGGCGCACAACTGCCGATGAAATATGGATGAGGACAGGGCCTGCCCCTTCCAGGGCTCTCCCTGCTGAATGCCCTCCTGGCTCCTGGGTTTGGCCCCGCATGCTGGATGCAAGCTGACACTTTGGTCTGACTGGAAATTACATTTGTGTCTTAGCCATTGAAATTTCATTGCCAAAAATATTGGGGGAAAAAAATGTGTAAACGGAGAAAGTGGTATAAATGTTGCTTTTGATGATTAACATGTAAAATGAGGAATGGTAAAACAATTTTTCCCCTTTAATATTGCTTGAGTTTAGCGGCTAGGTTGCCACATCTTACATTTAATCATATCTTTAGCAGTATTAGCAAACATGTCAGCAATTCCACCACTAAAAGGAATCAGCACATGTATCCAAATATGCAATAATAGGATTATTCACTTATAAGTGAAGAAACATTAGCTAAGAGCTTTAAATTCAACCATAGTACGAAGGAGCATACAAGACAGAAGTCCCTTAGTCCCTAGTCACCCACGGATAGGGAGACTTTGGCCATTTGGTCCTTTGACCGAGAGACCTGCTGACTATATAGGGTAATCGTTTGAACAGTCTGGTATTGGTTGCACGTATTTTGGTCATGCTGTGTTACATAAACCTCTGCCTTGACAGATGAGCTGTAGCCTGGTCTTCCTCGAGGCTGGCAAGGTTGCACAGAGTGCCTAACAAGGCCGATGAGTCTGCAGCCCTCCCCATGGGGGCGGACATCCCTGTCTTACATCACCCTTTCTGAAAGGGGGGCCTCCGAGATGCCCACAGCAGCCTGGCAGCCCACAGGCATGCTTTATCCTGGGCTGTTGGTGTCCCGGTCCGCATGTATTTGTATCTCATGGAGTAAATAGACATAGGGTTCACAAAAGGAGTTTCTGGTTTGATCACACTTGTCTTTTGACAGCACCAGACAGGCAAAGACCTGGGCGAAACCACAACAAGTGCAGGATCCAGTTGCCATATCTATTCCTCCCAAATAATTAGATACCTGTCCCCTGGGCTGGTCCTGAAGTCTTTTCTTGGTCAGAGCACCTCCAGTTCCTGTGATGATTGCCCTGTCTTTGTTCCAGCCTGGAACTCTCTTACATTACAAAACCCTACCTGTCTGCTAACAAACTGGAGAAGAACGACCCTTACCTGGGATGTAGCCATCCCATTTCTTGGTGCAAGCAGAATTTCTTCAGGCATTAATACTTAGCAACAATTCTACCCAAAATTAGGCACTCAGCTGGCTCTGGCTCTTTTTGGTAGGAGTATGAGGTAAAAAGACAACACAGCTAATAACTTCAAATCTACAAAAGGTTTGTAAGATTAAAAAAAATTTACACTCAAAATCTTCAAACAAGTACAGTGCTTTTATTTCAAAATGTACCTTATCTTATCTTTGCATCCTAAAGGCCCTACAGGCATAGACTGTGTTGAGCCATTAGGTGGGAAATTCAGGGAATCGGTAAGTGATGAGACAAGATTATTACCTCTATGCACACAGTGGGGGAAAGCCACCATTTGAAAGAAATGCTGCAGTCCCTGGAACCGCAGGGTTCGATCTCCCCCGAGCCCTGCCTAACCCATCTACGCTGCTATCTTGCACAGCAATCTTTGCAGGGTTAGGACAGTGCAGGGGGAGGCCAGCACAGGTCCCTTTGTCCATTAGGATTTAGGTGGTGCAGGGAGCTCTGCACAAGTTGGAGGCTCATTTCATACTGTGTATATATATATATGTGTATATGTATATATTTGTGTATATATATGTGTGTGTACATCCATATATATATATACAGATAGATATGTATGTATATTTGTGTGTGTATGCATGCGTGCATGTGTAGGTCTGTGTACACATATATAACCAAATTACATCTTCTACCCATTTCATTTCAAACCAAGTTTCTCCCATCACATGGTGGGAGAGCAGAAAAAGTACCTGCTAAGGGACCTATTAGAAGTGAACACCTTAGCCCAACACCCAGAACAAGAGGTTCCTCTGCACTTATTAAGGGACAAGATGGTCTACTTGGATTTACAAACTGACCTCAAAGAACTGAAAGAGACATTGGCTCATGCTCTCTTTCTTCAACTGGTGGTTGCAGTGGCAGTTCCCAGGCTTTGTCACTTCTGGAAATGCTTTTGTGGTCTTCACCCATGATGAATGAGACTTTATTTTCAAATCATAGGTCCATAAATATTTTTCTTGCAGCTTGTGAAAATGCAGGTTCCTGGGCCTCCCCACCTTTTGCATTTGTCCCCTGTGGTGTCCGCCACAGCCTCTCTCCAGCACATGCACACCTTTTCCTATAAGAATTATTTTCTCTTTGGCCAGATTTCACCTTTCAGGAATTTTCTGTGTCACATACCTTAACAAGGTTGGTACTTCTTACAGTTGTAAGGAGTCTAGTTTTAAATTCTGCTAACTGAGTTTGTAGTAGAGGCACAAAGAGTAAAAAGGCTGAATCAGCAACACAGAGAACAGAGTGAAAAAGAAAATTGCTTTTCTTCCCAATTGCACAATTGCATTCCTTTCTCTTTGCCGAGATTTTCCCCACTACTGTATGGGCAGCCAGGAAATCAACATGTGAGGTTCCTAAAGCCTCCATTATAAGACACGTACCGTTATCTCCCAAGACTAAAGCCGTATTGATCATGCCTACATTAGTGAAGCGTAAGTCCCTGGAGCTGTGAGCTCTAGAGAGCTTCAGAGGGAAGGTTCAAGCCCTGAAAAAATCGCTTTATTGTGAGCCCAAGCCCTCCTTCATTTCATCTGGAAGTGTGGGGCATGCTCAGAGCTGAGAGTGTAGTCACCTTCTCTGCTGACCAAGAACCATCTACAGTTATACTGTAGATGCCCTTATGCTGATATACATCCACATTACAGCAGAGAGTAGCTAGAAAACACATAGGTCCAGAGTTTGATGGACATTGTCTCTTGAGCTCTTGCTTCAGCTAGTAGCTCAGACATACCTTCAGAGACAGTGTGCTGGCTTTGGCCTGGTGTGGCAAATAATATTATTTACCATAATATTATTTACCATCTAGAGCCACTTGCTTCTTAAGCATCATTTTGATATGAATGGCATCATCAAGCTAAATGAAATTCCCCAAATAAAACATCCCAAAGTCGGGGGATTCCTATGGAGTCTAAACAGCCTTGCTGGGTGCCAGGAATGTGCAAGAAAGCGTTGATTCATTTAACCTCCTTAGTTGCAAATCATTTTTGGAAGCAAGCAGAAAATTCTGCAGCAACAAGGGAACATGTTTTAACATCAACCTGGATCTCAAGATAAACAGCACACAACTTCAAATACAGATCAGAAACAGCTTACACAACACAGACGCACCAAAGCTTTTAGTCATTACAACACTATTTTCCATTTAAATAGCACCTACATCCCTAAGTTCTACATAAACAGAGCTAGCTACAGAAATCACTTCATCGTTATTCAGATGCAGCCATCCTCGGTGGACAAAAGTGCACAGTAAAGTTGAACCTTACTTTTTCTGTTTACAGCATATCTTATAAATGGAATCATTTTTTTTTTCCTTTCAAAAATTTAATTTTTTATAAGTAATTCAATGAAATGTTCTGTCTTGATTTTTTCTCCCACTTGTTTATCAGTTTTTAAATTGTGCACATCAATTATTCATCACAGAAAATATTTCATTATTATTTACTATTTTGGACAAGTATAACACATTATTATTATTATTATTAGCACAAATATTACTACAAACAGTGAAAACGCACTGCTGGTAAATCTGTTTTGGCATGCAAATTCAGCATTGGTTTCTGAGGATGCTAACCACAGAATTACAGAAAATGTTTGGAAAATTGGACTCGAAATATGGGATTTGTTCAATTTAACTTCTGAATCAGAGCCAGAAATTCTAGCTTTCCCTTAGAGCTAATGAAGAGAAATAGGCGTTTTAAGACCATGATTCACCTGACCTATTTTAGACGTCTGCTCTGAGAGGACATGAATTGGGCCTTTAGAGTCAGCCTTCACCGACTCTAAAA